AGCGTTTTGAATGAAAATGGCCCCCATAGGCTCTTAGGGAAGTGCATTATTAGGCAGTGTGGTGTGGCCTTGTTGGAGTGGGTGTGGCCTTGTTGGAGTGGGTGTGGCCTTGTTGGAGTGGGTGTGGCCTTGTTGGATGAAGTGTATCACTGAGAGTGGGCTTTGGGGTTTCAAAGCCCAAGTTGGGGCCCAGTGTCATGCCATCTTCTCACTGCCTGGGGATCCAATTGTAGAACTCTCAGCTACCTCTCCAGCCCCACATCAGCCTGCTGGCCATGATGCTTCCCGCCACGATGATAATGGACTAAACGTCAGAAGCTGTAAGCCAGCCCCAATTTAACTGGTTTCCTTTATAAGCATTGCTGTGGTCATGGTATCTCTTCACAGCAATAAAACCCTCACTAAGATACTCCCAAGTTGCCTTTGGTCATGGTGTTTGTTACAGCAATAGAAAGCCTAACTTAGGCAGTAGTTAAGAGCAGAGAGAAATGAGTACACGTTTGCTTGCTTGCTCTCCTGGATTTCTCCTCTCAAACCTCTCAGGACCCCTGCCCATGGGTGGCACTGCCCAGAGTCAGCTGGGCCCGCCCACACTAATCATTAATCATGAAACGCCCCACGGGCAGGCCAGCGTTATAAAGACATCTCCTCAACTGAGGCTCCTCCTCCCAGATAATTGGATATTGCATCAAGTTGGCAAAGAAACAGACAAAACCCCCAACCGGCCAGAACCAGCTACAACTCCACCAGGGCAGTGGTGGGTGTGATGTGACCTTCTGTGCCATGTCCCTGTCACTGTCACTTGCTCCCAGGTTTCTTTTGGTCAGTGTTTTATCTCAGGAAAAAGAAAAGCAAACTAGAATAGGGTGTCAGGTGAAACCTGAGAGTCCAGCTCAACTGCCGCCCAATGCGCATGCCCAAGATCTACCTCTCCGCCCCAACAGCGCCGGACTACAGGTGCTGTGCCCAGATGTTTTGTGGGTGCTGGTGAACTGCACCTGGGTTCTCTTGTTCACACATGCTCTTTTCCCTTTAAGTCATTTTCCAGACTATGGCTCTGTTTCTTGCCTGGTTTGTTAAGATCCCGACCTCCCTTCCCAGTCCCAGTCGCTCCACCCCGGAACTTCAGCATCCCTTAACCTCGCCCACATCTCAGAGTGTGGTCTTTTTGTTAAATGTTTTTTGCTCCTCAGACAAGTAACTAAATGTATCATCATCATCATTGTGTTTGTTTGTTTATTATTACAGGGTTTATCTGTGTAGCCCTGGCTGTCCTGAACTTGCTCTGTAGACCAAGCTGGCCTGAAACTCTAGACCAGGTTAGCCTCAAACTCAGAGAGATTCCTTAAGGGTGTGGACCACCACCACCCAGGGTGAATGTATTATTTTTAAAGTATTTAATCAATTACTTGTGAACTAAAACTATTCAATGAACATTGTGTACTTCAAATGTATAGTACAGAGGGCTTTGACAAATGTCCACACTCCCATCATCATCACGGCTCTCCGGAGAGGCTCATCCTTCAGACTTGTGGTCCTGTCCCTCAGGGGCAACTTGGGTGTGGCTGGTAGTGTGGATACTTTCCTAGGGAGACGGGAACAGACATCTAGTCACCCCAGATAGACACTATCGACAGACTAAAGAAAAAGCTCAGCCCAAGTCTAGCTTGGTGAGCCAGGTGAGTTTCTTTGGGTTACTCTCTGGAGCATGGGTCACCCAAGCTCAACTGCATCCCTAAAAGGCCCGGCCCAGCTTGAGTGACAACCCTGAGGCTCCGGCTCAATCTACAGGCAGCTCCACCAAAGAATCTTCTTTCCCTTAGCAATTGCTTGCTGCTCACAGAACCTTGGGGCAGGACCCTGGAACTTTTTACAAGTTTCCCAGTTTGTTTAAGTTTCTGAAGCTTGGGCTTCCTAAGTCCTTGAGTCTTTGGATCGTTCCTCCCTCTGAAGGTGATGGATCCATTGCAGGAAGTAACTACTCAGTACAACAGGCCTTCTCAGTTCTGATTTCTTTTTCCTTTAAAAAATGTATGTATGTATGTATCTATGTATGTATGTATGTATGTATGTATGTATGTGTGTATGTATATATTCATATGTACATATGTTCTTTTGTATTTTTGAGACAGGGTCCCACTATGTAGTCATGGCTATCCTGGCGCTCACTATGTAGATCAGGCTGGTTTTGAACCCCCAAGAGCTCCTCCTGTCTCTGCCTCCCAAACACCCAGATTAAAGGTGAGCTACCCCACACCTGGCTAGGTTTTTTTTTTCTTTCCACTTTTGAATCAAATTTCATAAAAATGGAATCATATGGACGAGCCTTTTTGCATTTGGCTTCTTTTTCTCAGTATTTGGTTTTATTTATTTATGTGTGTCTTTAACATTGATTTACTTGTGGATGTGTGAATGGGTTTGCCCCAATTTGAACATGGAGGTCAGAGCACTACCCAAGGGAGTCGGCTCTCTCCTTCCATTGTGTAGGCTGCAAGGATTGAATCAGGTCAGAGGTTTCTGGGCAAGCACGTTCTGCATTTGGGACTTCTTGCTGTTTTTAGATACATTTTGTAGGCCCAGGCTGCACTTGGTATAGCTAAGAATGACCTTGAACTTCTGACCCTTGAACCTCCTGCCTCTGCATATGAAGTGCTGGGATTGAAGGTATGCACCTACACTCCACTCACACTGAGGTTAAACCCGGGGTTTCGTGCATGCTGGGCAAGTGTCCAGTCTCTTAGCATCGTGCTTTGATCTTCTCCTTGCCAGCTGGTATTCTATTCCATTTGAACACGTCACCACGTGTTACACTGTTCATCCACTGTTGATGCCCAAGCTGCCCCTGATTGGCGCAAATGGAGGAACTATGAGCAGTCCTGAGCAAATCTTTCTGTGGATGGCTGTTTTTGTTTCTTCTATATAGACACCACAGCACTTTCTGGGACAGGAGGCAATCATACACTCATGGGAGACAGCTGGACAGTTTTCCCCAGTGTGTGCACAAATTATACCTCTAGAACATACCATTTCCCCAGAGGAGGACAGGCCAAGACAGACCTGAGCAAAGATAATGTTTAAAATGCCATCAGGGTTAGGTAGTGAGTTTCAAAATGTCTTCTTGAATGTTAGTAGTCATTGCCCTCGGATGGGGCGCTGGGCATTGCTTGAAGGCTGCTTTCAATGTCTCCTCCAGCCCAGACACGTGAGATCTCACCCCCTAGGTTGTCTTGCCAACTGCTAAACTGAAAGTAGCTAGGTAAATTCATTTATACTTACATGGGATGATAATCAGCCCTCGCTCCACTAACACCCTCAAATACCAGTTTTAAATGGGAAACTTAACCACCTAAAGGAATTAACCAGTGTTGCTTGCTTTTGGGGAGAGTTGCTGTCTTTTTAGTGTAATCTGAGAGTTATGTGGGGGCTAGCATGATGGTTTGGGTTGTTAAGGGCACTTGCTTCTAATCTTATGACCTGAGCTACACACACACACACACACACACACACACACACTAATGAAAGTTGTGTGAAGCCCTGTGGGGGTGTAGGTGGGAGGGATGTGAGTTTGAGGTCAACCTGGGCTAAATAGTGAGTTCCAGCCGGGTGGTGGTGGCGAACACCTTTAATCCCAGCACTTGGGAGGCAGAGGCAGGCGGATTTCTGAGTTCAAAGCCAGCCTGGTCTACAGAGTGAGTTCCAGGACAGCCAGGGCTGCACAGAGTTCCAGATTAGCTTTGGCTCATGTAAAAAACGTGAGCTGAAAATGATATCTGTCTTGAGCCCGATGTGGTTCAAACCCCAAACCGTACTATAAAAAGGAAGCAAATTCTTCCCATGGCCGAGTCCTGCCTCACTGACTCACAGACTCATGGTTTAGCACCAAACTCTTGTTCACCGTTTACCATTTGACTTGCCTAAACAGGACTTTTCAAAAGGACAGACTATGGCATCGTTATCACCTAGCACATGGGCAGCCATATTATGGTCACATGATAATGCCCATTTATGGACTGTGTACATTTATATAGAAGGGATTTATAAACTGTACAGAACCACTGGTGTACTAAATCTTAGCAATGCTATTATTCTTTATTGAGACAGGGTCTTGCTATGTAAGGCCATGCTGACCTGGAACTAGCAAGCCATTCCCCTGCCTCAGTCTCCAGATGTAGGACATTGGCCACCAGGCCAGGAAAGAGAGCTGGGTTTATGAACTCTCCAGTGAGCTGATGTTGGAGAGACAGGACCCAGTGAACTGGAAGGGATCTTCTGTCCTAGCTGGGACCAACCTTGGGGCTGCTTAACCGAGACGCTTACAGCTTCTCTCAGATCGCCCGTTCTCCAAACCTGGGAATTCTACGCGCTCTGGAGGTCACCAAGGTCTGAGTAGTAATGATGTTCAGGAACGCTAGGGTAACGTAGGAAATGCCTTTGAAGGAAATACTTAAATTACATGCGCTCCCTCTACCTCTGCCATCCTCCTAGTGTGCGGAGATTACAAGCGATTGCCACCACGCCCGGTTCTCTGCGGTCCTGGGGAATAGAACTCAGGCTCCGTGCCTGACAGGCAAGCCCTCTGCCAACTGAGCCACATCCCCAGCCCCAACATGGCCTTTTCCTAACGGGACGGAGGAACTCGCACTCCTGAGGACCGAGGCTAGCAAATCAGCAGCTTCCCTTCTTCATTTAAAAAAACGGCTCGTTTAAAGAAGGGTCTGTCTGTAAGTCTGCGCCCAGTCAACCCTGCGTAGCGACCGTCCTCCCCTCGGGGGTACACTGCCCGCCCTCCGGGCCCTGGCACAGCCCCTTTTGGCACTGCGGCTCCCAGGTGCTGGGCGCGAAGGCGGAGCCTGACTACAGCCGCCTGGGTGGCGCCACCGAGACCCCCGGGAGTTCGCGGGTCCCAGCGCTCCAGGCTGCAACTCCCGCAGCATCCCCGGCCGCTGCACCAGCATCCGCCAGACCTCTCCGGAGGCGCGCAGCCCGCGGACGCCACCACCATGGGCGCGGGGCCGCGATGGCCGGCGCCCGGCAGCCTGCCTGCGCTCTGCGCCGCGCTGCTCCTCCTGGCTCTGCAGCCGTCCTCCGTGCGCGCCGAGGGTGAGTGTCCGCAGCCGGGAGGCCAATCGGGCCGGAGATGCCATCCGGGGCTGGCCACCCTGCGCCCCAGCATCACCGACCCTGGCCCTTCCCGGCGCTCCCCACCGCCTCATAGAGTCACGTCTAGGCTGCCCTCGAACTTCTGGAATTGACTTTTCATCTCTCCCAACCCCGGTTTCTCAACGTGCATTAAGGGCGAGCCCTTCCCCAAGGCTGAGGTTAGAAAATCTGCGAGTTGTCCGGGAAGATCTTGAGTGGGGATCAATGTCCCGGGCCAACAGGGAAGCAGGGAGCCCCGGGTAGAGGACACAGCTCCAGCTGTGGCGCTCCGGAGGGCGGGGGATGGGGGCCATGGGACACCCGATTTAAAAACAAACAGCCGGGCGGAAGTCGAGCTGCCAGGTGGGGATGGATGCCTTGGGACAGGAGGTGGAAAACCAGGTAGCCGCCAGATAACGTTGACCCTCTTTGTCTTATTGAACCCCAATTCAGCTTTAATTTTTTTTAAACGTTTAGTATTTATTCTCTGCGTGTGCTTTACTTTGTTTTTAAAATCTGAATTCAGCTTTAATTTTACAAATGGGGGACGGCGTTTACACGCATGCTTGCCATAGTATGAGTGTGGAAGTCGGAAGGCAACTTGAAGGATTCATTCCTTCCCGATGCACTGCGTGGGTCCCTGGCATGGAACTCGGGTCATCAGGCTTGGCAGCAAGCACCCTTACCATTGAGCCGTCTCGCTGGCCCTTGAATTCCGCTTTTGATACTTGCCTTAAACTAGTGGGATTAGAGCCCTGTGTCAATACAATTTCCGTTTGAAAAGCTAATTCAGCTGTGTTTAGATGTCAAAACAAAACTCCTCTGAACGGGAGCCGGAGGACGTGAAGGGAGCCTGATTTCCTCAGCCTCAGGTTTCTAGAAAGTCCACCCTTAGGACAACCTTGACCAATAGGGGAGAAACGCCCTCCGCTAATTTAGGAAGCTTTGCATAGACTGAAGTACAGTTATTTTAATCTGGTAAAACATAAGGAAGCTGAAGATCAGGGAAAGAAACCCCTGGTGCTTGAGAAAACGGTGAGGAGACACTGTGTCACTCCACAAACACTACAGGTGCCAGGTTTGTATGTGCCATGCGCTAAGCAAGAGCTTGGGCGTCCTGGCCATGTCTTTAAGCGTGAAGAGAGAACATTTTTAATTCTAAAGGTTGTTAATGATTCTTAATTAATTATCAATTAATTTATGTGGCAGTGCTGTAGAAATATCCCGCCACCGAACCACAGCCTCAGTCCCATTTTTTTAAAAATAATAATAAAAAAATTTAAAGATTGTTTTTTGAAATCTAGATATGCCTCATAAAAATTACCATTTAAAAATGCAGAACGGCAGTTTTATTTTGTTGTCCAATGTTTGCACATCTAATTCTAGAACATTCCATCACTGCCACACAGAACCTTTTTGCAGTATGCCCATTGGTGATCTTTGGGATTTCCGTTCTGATGCCGAGTTATGAAAATTCAACTGATTTTAAAGAATGCACGTAGACTGGGTTGGGGTTAGTACTAACTTTTGAACAATGTCTACTTTTGTTCCAACTTTAATTCCTTCCACTAAAATCTCTTTCCATGATGTTTTATCGAATTTCACCCCATTATGAACACTTAAGCAGAATGCCACATGGATGAAGACCAAAGTTTTGTGCCTATGAGGGGCAGAGAAAATAGAAGGCAGGATTGTCATCTAGCAAGGAGAAACTGAGGAGCCCTAGCCTGTGTGTTTGTTCTTACTGGAAACGCTTCCTGTCCCACCCCCACCCTCCCCACACACTTCCATTTTCCTCTCTCCACTTGGCATAGAGAGAATTATGAGCACACTTCATTTTATGAAAACTTTACCTGCAAAGCCGTCCGTTGTATAGTGGAGCCCTGGAGGAGTCATAAAACATATTGTGAACAGATCCCTCCCTGTCTCTGTGCTTACGGGCCTCCCGAACACCTATTTATCTGAGTCTAAGCAGGCAGGAGGGTGGGTGGCTGTTTAGCTGAGAGTCATTGTTATAGATATTTGAAGAGACTTGGACAAAAAACAGTCTCTCTTTAAAAATTAAAATTTAGGGGCTGGAAGGATAGCTCAGTGGTCAAGAGCATTAACTGCTCTTCCAGAGGACCTGAGTTCTATTCCAGGCAACCACATGGTGGCTCACAACCATCTGTAATGGGATCCGATGCCCTCTTCTGGTGTGTCTGAAGACAGCAACAGTGTACTCACATATATAAAATAAACAAAAAAATTTAGTTTATGGGTGACTAATTCAACATGTCTCACATAGACAAAGTAGAGGGACCACTGTATTTCTGCATTTGACTTTGTTTTTCATGTGTGTGTGGACGGGTTGCACATGTACACTTCTCATGGAGTCCAGCAGTTGGCGCCAAGTGTCTTCCTTAATCCCTTCTAGTTTATTGGGGTTTTAAATATATTTTTTTATTTTTTATTATTTTTAATTATTTTGTGTGTGTGTGTGTGTGTGTGTGTGTGAGTGTAGGTGCCTTCTGAGACTGGTGATGTGGGATTCCCCAGGAGTGGAGTTCCAAAAGGTTGTAAGCCACTCTGTGTGGGTGCAGGGACCCAAACTCTGGTCCTCCTCAGGGGCAGTTTGTGCTCTTAACCACTGAGCAGTTCTGGCCTCCCCACCTTCTTTTTTGAGATAGGGTCTCTCAATGAACCTGGAGCAAGCTTGTCATCAAGTCCCAGGCATTTTCCTGTCTCCACCTCCCGAGTGCTAGGATGACAGGCATGGGTAGCCATACACAGAGTTTGTTACTGTGGGGGTTGGGGAGAAAGAGCACTTGCGACATTCACAAGTGGAGGTCAGAGATAACTTTTCAGAGTCTCTTTCTACATTTACTGGGGTTCAAGGATCAAACTCAGGTTGTCAAGTTCATGAGGCAAGCTCCCTTACCCCCTGAGCCATTTTGCCTGCCCACGTGGGAGCTAGGGATTGAACTGAAGTCTTTAGGTTAAAGCAGCAAGTGCTTTACCGACTGAGTTATCTCCTAAAACCTTACCTTTCGATTTTTGAAATGGGAAGGAAAACCTCCTTCGTAATTAACTAAATGCAAATGAACCATTTGAGTAATGACTTCAGAAGAAGACATGTTAATGCAGCCCAAGTCTACAGAGTAACTACTGCATACCGGTAATGTCCTTGCTGACAAACACAGAATGAAGAGAAATGGGTCCTTCTATTAGGGAACCTTAAAATGCCCAGAGGTAGCCAGGCATGGTGACACACACCTTTAACTCCAGCACTGGGGAGACAGAGGCAGGCAGATCTCTGAGTTCGAGGCCAGCCTGATCTACAGAGAGAGTGAGTTCCAGGACAGCCAGGGCTACACAGAGAAACACTGTCTGGAAAAAGAATCAAACTAAACTAAACCAACCAATCAAATAAACAAACAAAACACCAAGGAGAGCTGTGGTCAGCTTGGTGAATGCAACGGCAACTTCTGTCACTGAAGAGATTTAAAAATAAAGACGCTTGGAGGGTTGAGGCACTGGAATGTGGTGACAGGCATTAGTATCAGGGTCTGTTTCTTCCTTCATGAGTGGGAAGGTGGCTTCCTTCTCTCTCATCTAAAAGGATTTGGGGCTCTGTAAAATATGCTTTTATTTTTTTGTTTGCTTTGGTAGTGAAATATCTGGGTTTGGGTTTTTCTTGTAAGGGTGATTAAAAATAATTTTTAGAAATGTTATTATATTCTTACATTTAATTTTGTGTGGAGGGAGCGTGAAAGCACATGGCGGGCGGAGGACAACAATGGGAATTGGTTCTCTCTATCAATCCAGTGGGTTTAGGGGATTAGAAGTTAGGCCATTGTGGTTAGCAGCCTGAAATCATGTGGTCAGCTCCAAAGTGATTTAATTTCTTGAGGAAATAAAGGGATATTCAAAATTGGGTCGATTTTGCAAAGATTTTTTTTCTTCTTTCCTTCTTTTTTGGTTTTTGTTTTGTTTCTTTGTTTATTTTTCAAGACAGTGTTTCACTATGTAGCTCTGGCTGTCCTGGAATTTGTACTATAGACCAGGCTGGCCTTGAACTTAGAGATCTACCTGCCTCTGCCTCCTAAGTGCTGGGATTAAAGGCAGGAGCCACCACCACCCTTTGTTATTTGAAGGAAAAATGCTTATTAAGGCTCAGGGAATCCATGTGGAAGCCGAGGCAGACAAGACTGTAGGAGTAAGAGCTGGGGGCGGACTTCAAGACAACAGTGTTTCCCAAACACAACAGATCTGGTACACAGGAACTCACAGCAACTCTGACAACAGGTACAATGTCTATACAAGCTCACGCCAGACAAAAATCTCTGCTTGGAGAGGGGAGGTAGGCAGAAAAGTCTCGCCCCTAGAGGACTCGAATTTGACTGTTGCTAGGAGAGAAAAGTCAGTTTCTTCAAAGAAGTGACACCTGGCACAACAACCAGGTCAGGCCCTTTGCCAGTCAGCCTATACAAATGGGACTCCGTATGCTGAGGGACAGAGGAGGCTGCAAATGGGACTCAGTGTGCTGAGAGACAGAGGAGGCTGCATGGGGAGGAGATCGGGAGGGTCTGGGAGGACCTGGGAGGGGGTGGGGAAGGGGGATGGCTGCCATCAAGATATATTGTATGAAACTCAAAGCATTAATGAAAGCATCATGGGGAAAAGAAACCATTCCATCTAAATCAGTGGGTCTCAACCTTCCCAATGCTGTGCCCCTTCAATGCAGTTCTTCATGTTGTGGTGACCGCAACCGTAAAATTATTTTCATTGCTACTTCATAACTGTAATTTTGCTACTGTCATGAATCATAATGTAAATCTCTGTATTTTCCAATGGTCTTAGTCAAGCCCTGTGAAAGGGTCGTTCTGCCCCAAGGTGGTCAAGACCCACAGGCTGAGAACCACTGATATAAACTGTCAGTTGGCACAACAATCTGGAACTGAATAGGATGTCCCAGGCATTCCTTTGTCCCTGCAGGTGGCTGCTGGTGGCCACCATGTTCCCCTAAGCCATATTTTGGTTTGTTTTTCCCCTGGAAGCTCTCCTTTGCTTTCAGCCTGGGTTCCCACCTCTCCCTCCATTCATGGCCACACACACACATACACACACACACACACATATAAAGACACACACAGATTCAGACACATACACAACATACACACACATAGCACAACATACATATATATTCACACACACAACACACACACACATATACACACACTACATACACACCAGCAGGGCCTCACTGTAGACCAGACTGACTTGTAGAACTCAGAGCTCAGCTTGCCTTGGCTTCCTCAGTGCTAGGATTAAAGACATGTGTCATCACACCTGGCTAATTCAAATTCATGCCAGACCATCTGGTTGGTGTGTGTGTGTGTGTGTGTGTGTGTGTGTGTGTGTGTGTTGTTTGTGGTATGTGAGAGACAGACAGACAGACAGGCAGGCAGACAGGCAGGCAGACAGAGACAGAGAATGGTGCATATGTGTAGATGCCGTGGAAGCCAGAGAGCAACTTGACCTGTTGTTCCTCATGTACTCACCTTACCCTTGAGACATGTCTTTTATCAGCCTGAAACTCCTCAGGTAGGCAGGCTGGCTGGCCAGTGAGTCCATAAGCTACCTGTTTCCACCCATTCAAGACTGGAATTACAAGTCAACACCACACCTGGTTTTATTTTTATGTAGTTTCTACAGATTAAACTTGGGGCCCTTCAGCCTAACCAACCAGTCTATCTCTGCACCCCAGTTACATTTTTGTTTGTTGGTTTGTTTATAGTAGACTAGAGCCAGCAAGACTCAGTATCCTGCTCTTGTTCCAGACAGTTAGGAGGATGGTTTGAGCTCACAGGTTTGAAGTCCTCTTGGGCAACAGGTCCCAGGACTGGTGTGCACCAGTGTCCACAGACAAACATGATGCTTCCTTCACAGTGCCTCGGACCTCACCATCCACCTATCGCTCTCATCCTGCACAGGGAAACTCTTCGTGCTGGACTCTCAGAATGGCTCTTGGGGCCTGGACCTGGAGGCAGCTCGGCTCTCCTGCAAGAGCAGGGGTGCCCACCTGGTGTCTGCTGGGGAGCTGAAGAGGGTGGTCCAGGACTGTGCATCCGCAGTGTGCACAACAGGCTGGCTGGCGGATGGCACCCTCGGGTAAGTCTCCAATCACCTCAGCTGTCCTGCCTAGGTATACGGGGCTCAGCATCTGGCCTGCAGGGATAGCGGGACAGGCTATGTGAAATGGACGGTGGCTTCTAGCAAGTTCAATTTATTTATTATTTATTCGTGTGTATGTGTGCATGTGTGTATCAGCTTTTGGATGCTTCACACACACATGGAAATCAGAGGTCAAATTTTCTTTTCTTTCTTTTTTATCTTTCTTTTTTGTTGTTGTTTTGCTTTGTTTTTCAAGACAGGGTTTCTCTGTGTAGCTCTGGGTGGCCTCAAACTCCACCTGACTCTGCCTCCTAAGTGCTGGGACTAAAGGTGTATACCACCACTGTCCAGCTCGGAGAGCAACTTTTCAAAGTCAGTTCTTTCCTTGTCAAACCAGGATCTCTCTTGTTTTTGCTTCTCTGCATATTCCAGGCTAGCTGGCCACTCAGCTTCCAGTCAGCTCTTCAGTCTCTGCTCCTGTCTTGCCCGGCCCTTCCAGCATGTTCTGGCTTCTGGAGTCCTTTACTTTGTCATTGTATAATTACTTAGAGGTAATCGTTTGAATCTGAATCATCCTCCATGAGCTCTTGTTTTGAATGCTTGTCCCCAGACTGAAGGCACTATTTGTAGGGAGGGACCATGTACGATGTGGGGTCAACCTGATCAAGTGGGTCATGGGGGGGGGTGGATGGGGTGGGGGGACTGGCCTTTGAGTTTACTTGCACAGCCTGATTCCTGTCACCTTTTGTATCCTGGTCTTCAGTCATGTGATCAGCCTCTGGCACCAAGACTAAGTGGTTACCACCCTTATACCTCTCCAGCTGTGTGGATTGAAATTTCTGAAACCATGGGCCCAAATGAACTCCTTTGAGTTGTCTCACTCGGGTATTTTGCCTACAGCCATGCAAAAAGAACAGATGTAGGTGAGATACCTACATGCCGAAGAAGGCTAGGACCTCACACAGGGCCCTTGCCAACCAGCCTAACCAGTCCTAGGCAACACACAATGTTAACTGTCAGACGTATGAGTGAAAAGACCCAGCTGCTTCTGGCCCCCAGCTGTTGAGTTTTCTTCAGCCTATGAATCATCCCAGCTCAGGGTCTAGATCAGTGGTTCTCAACCTCTGGGTCTCGACCCCTGTGAAAGGGCCATTAGACCAGCATAAGACCATTTCAACCTCTGGGTCTCGACCCCTGTGAAAGGGCCATTAGACCAGCATAAGATCATTGGAAAACACGATTGGAAAACATTGGAAAATTGCGATATTTATATTGCAATTTATAACAGTAGCAAAATGATAGTTACGAAGCAGCAATGAAAATAATTTTACGGTTAAGGGTCACCACGCCATGGAGAACTTTATTAAAGGGTCACAGCCTTAGGAAGGTTGAGAACCGCTCTAGACACTATAGAGCAGACAGGTATCCCCACTGTGTGCTGAATTCCTAATCCATGGAACGCTTTAGAGAAGTAAGTCTTACAGACTAGCTGGAGAAAATGTCCCAATAGTGTTTGCATCTGTTCTTTGGATTTCAAAGATGATAATGGCACTTCTGGCTTCCAGGTGTCTGGAAGAACTCATAAGATTTTACTTTTAAGAATGACAGTCCTACTCTAAGCCTTGATTTATTTCAACAAACAGTTTTGTTAGCATAGTATTTCTCATATAATATAAAAGAACCAGTCATACTAATAATAATAAGTAAAATTCTAATAATAAGTAAAATTCAGGAGACACAACAGCTAAAAGAAATTCTATATATCAACATTGGTAGATAGTAACTTTCAGATGACAATCTCTGGGGCTGGAGAAATGTCACAGCCATTAAAAACACTGGCTACTTCTGTAGAGGACCTGGGTTTGATTCCCAGCATGCACATGGCAGCTCACAACCATCTGTAACTTCAGTTCCAGGGGATCCAATGTCCTCTGCTGACCTCCTTCGGCACCAGGCACACACATGGTGCACAGACACACGTACATACAGGCAAAACACCCATATGCATAAAATAAAAATAATTTTTTTAAACAAAAATGACAATCCTTAAAAAGTTCAAAGATATAAAAGATAAGGGGAATTTTAACAGCATGAGAAATTATAGAAAAGAATCAAATGGAAATATTTTATAGATTTTTAAAAAACCCTAAAATTAATGTATGTATCTAACAGCTGATTGAAAAGAACCGGAGAGAGAATTATTAAAGTGGAATCTCTCTCAGAGGGAGGTATGCAGAAGAAATGAAAGGAAGAGAGAATAAAAACAATGTAGGGAAAATGGTGAAGGAGATGAAACTGTATGAAGTTAGAATTTTAAAAGAAAAGAGAACAGGAACTGGAGAGATGGTTTAGTGGTTGAGAGGTCTCAGGTAGTGATTACTACTTCTCTAGCACCCAATCAGAGGATCCGTGCGTGGAGAAGGCCTCCAGGTGGCGTCCAGGCTGAGGGGCAGATGCCTGAGTGATACAGAGGCCACACCCACTGTGAACGCTCTGTGTTCTCAGATGCTCCAGCCCCAAGCAGATTATGCAGGTCGCCTGCTCCAGCTGGGCGGACTCGGTGGTCCCCTCCCTAGCCCCTATCTTTTTTTCTGGTGTCTCACACATGCCAAGCACAGATTTATCACTGAGCTACACCCTCAGCCACAGCGCCTCCATCTTACAAGTTAGCTTGAGATCTGGAGGGATCTGAGTAACTTGGCTAAGAATACCAGACTACTCCCTTCTATGCTAGTTCTGATGGTTCACCATTTAGCTCCATTCCCTCTCTCTGGGAGGCAGCTCTGATGGCCTTCCTCCTCTAAGTCCCACCTGAGTTTCTGTCTTACCTCAGTTTCCTGCTAAGCTTATGGTTGCAGGCACCAGGATCCCGGATTTTGCCATGAGTGGCATTCTATAGACCTCTGAGACATGTTGAACAAGGTTATCCAGCAAAATGAGTGCACTCTCCTCCTTCCAATCATAAGACACTCCTCCCAGCTCTCCTCCCAGACAGTCCTCATGTCTTCTGCACTCCTGAGTCTGGACCTAAAGCCCATAGAAAATTTTAGAAGGAGATCCCAAACTTCAAAACGTTGTCAAGGAGCAATTTTGTGAAGGAGCAACCTTTGTCAAGGTTCTTAGAGAGGCTTCCTGAATGAAAAGGAACCGCGCCCTAGTGATGTGCCTCAGTTGTACTCTGAATTGCCAAAGGGGGGAAAAAATCCAAGAGCAGGCGTCACTTGGAAGATCCCCCCTTCTCCAGAACACAGCTGTCGCTCCAGCAAGTGGTCGGAGAAACAAGAGGCTGAGCAAGAGATTGGTGCTGACTGGCTGACCCTTGCTATTCAAAGAGAATTGATTCTGTTGAAGCTGAGGTTTGTGTGCCAGGGGAGGTCTAGGTGTCTTTCCAAAGACTAAGAGCTACCCAACCGGCCCAAGAATAAAGGCTCTGAGGAGAAGCTCCCTCAAAAAAAGTTCTCTCAGAAGAACACCCTAGAAAAAAAGCCCCCCAGGAGAACCCCCTGAAAAGAAGTCCCCCTCAGGAGGCTGCCACATAGAAATCCACCTCAGCCCACTTAGGGAATAAGCACTCTAGAACATTCTAGAACTTACTAGGGAAGATGGTGGTAACTGACCATGAGCCGGTGCATGCGGGTCCCGGTAGGACATATTAGATCATTAGCTCAGTGTAACATTGTCAGCTGCAGTGCAGACAAGCTTTATGGTAAACATTGCCTTCCCTTGTTCAGATGTGGACTTCCTGTCAGTCTAGGGTGATTTCCTCAAGAGGCACATAGTGAATGTTGCTTCTTCAAGGTTGGGTATAGCCAGATCTTGAAGTCATGCCCAGGGGAGATGGGAGTGAAGCAAGCCGTTTACAGAGACTTCAAAGCCCTCCAGAACATTTGTGTCATGTCCCTTGCCTAAGACATCCCTCACCCAATCTGACCCCCAACCAGAAGGCCACTGCCTAGAACATGCCACTGTGCCTATGAAGTGTCTCACCAGAGAAGCCATTGGGCTGGGACATCCAGCTGGAAAAGTCAAACGTTCTTCTGTGGAAAATGCCCTGGCTACCATGGTGCTAGGGTCCTCTGTGTAAATGAAGCCTTGACTTTCAGTCAGGGTCTCATCACTAGGGTGACCATCTGTCTTTTGGAGGAGGTAGGAGAGGAAGATACTATGTTGCCCAAGCTGGCCTGGAACTCTTTATTTCAAGAAATCCTCCTGCCTCAGCTTCCCAAGTAGCTGGCACTATAGTTGTTTACCACTATGCAAGATATGTGTCATATTATGCCTTTTGTTCTCAAATAATCTGTTAATTTTTAAGTGTTTTTGGTAGTAATTGCTTACCTAGAGCGAAAGACTTGCTTAATGTAGGTTCTACTTTACAAGTTAAAAAGGGTTTTTACATAATTTTAGTGGATTGTTTTCTTTAGTCTTTTAGGATCTCCTGGAACTGGAGTTACAGGAGGTAGTGAGCCACCATGCACGGGTGCTGGGACCAAACCCTGGTCCTCTGCACACAGCTGCTTAGCCTTCTCTCTAGCCCAAATATGAAACCTTTGCAAAACTCAAATGAGGCCCGAGAGGAAGGCTCAGCATGCAATGGTGCTTACTGCCAAGCCTGGGTACCAGGAACCTGTGTGGTGGAAGGTGAGACCAGATCAATGCTGACCTCTGTCCTCAGACACACATGCGCATGCAGTAACTACATAGACTGCAAAGAGAAACACCAGTGATTCCTCCGATGAGTTTGTTCATAATAAAGAGAAAAAAAAAAGACTGCAGAAAGGATCAAAAAATATTACCTCTGAGAGCTGAACTGATGCTTTCGAGTTAACCCTGGCATCACACATCTCCCAAAACGTGACCGTTGTCTGTGGAGAATGTTTCTTTTTGGATGCTTTTGTCCAAAGGTCACGGATCACCCAAATATCTGCTGACTCAGCTGACAGAAGAAAATAATTCTTTTCAACCTGAAGACACTCTCCTAACCCAAAGGATCCTCCTTTATCTGTTTCAGGACAACCGTGTGTAGCAAAGGGAGCGGTGAACAACCAGTCTCCAGAGCTGTTGACGTGAGAATTGACAGCCACCCTGTTCCTGGTGCCAAGTACAATGCCCTTTGTATTAAGGACGAAGGTCAGTACCTGTAAGGCTCCTGGAGGCTGTGAGTGGCAGCTGCTGTCGTGGGTGGGGTGTCTAGAGAAACACACCGAGGTGACACTTTTCTGAACATGCTTTATTGAGTCTTCCCAGGGTGGATAGAGGGCTGGCTCAGTGGCTAAGATCACTTACTGTTCTTCCAAAGGAACTTTGGTCCCCTGCACCCATGTTGGGCAGCTGAAAACCTTGTGTGACATCCAATAAACTCTTCTGGATTTTTTGGACAGCAGCATTCACAGGTGCATGTACACACATAATTTTTAAAATAAAATAGATAAGCCAGATGATGGTGGCACCCATCTTTAATCCCAGCACTCAGAAGACAGAGGCAATTAGATCTCTGTGACTTTGAGGCTAGCCTGGTCTACAGAGTGAGTTCCAGGATAGCCAAGGCTACACAGAGAAACCGGTCTTGAAAAACATTGAATAAATAAAAAAATAAGTAATAAAAGTTAATAAATAAAAATATAAAAGTTTAGAAGGACTCTAACTAGAAATGCAGATAGGGCAGCAAGAACCTGGACAGGAAAGCGAAGGTGGCCAGGCATTGGTACAATATTAAGCAGAGTACACAGAGGTGTGACAGAGAAGATAACTTTGAGCCAGTGTTTCAGAGAACCTGGGGACGGTGTGCATGTATCAGTTACTAACTCATTGTTGTGACAAAAGGCAACAGAGAGGTGTAGGTGCTTACTGAGGCTCACAGTTTGAGGGTAAGGCCCATCATGCTGCTGGCTGGAGGAGCTCAAGACCGCTGTGGGCATTAGGTCCACACCTGGGAGTCAGAGGGATGAATACCGTTGTCCATCAGACCCTTCTTTGCCCAGAGGTCTCGGGGTGGCACCACCTCCTCTGAGTACACGTTAAACAACCTTTGCAAACACCTTCCCAGACACACCTGGAGCTGTATCTCCTACATCATAAATCCAGCTAAGCTGATGATGAAAACGGATCCTCACAGTACAGAATCATGGTTTTCCCAATTGGGGTGAGGGGGCTGGGTAGATATACTATGATAGCTGTCAATCATTGGTCAAGGAGTATGTCAGGAAATGTGACTTCTGGGTTTTCATTTGTATGAGCACAGTGCCACCTTCCCACAAAGAGGGGAAGGTGCCCATCAGGAGCCCTGTGCCTGGGAAGGTCCAGGTTTCTAGGGAATGAGAACAGAGCCCTGGGTGTGTCTGCTACAGATCCTGATGGTCACGGCATAGGCTTCTGTCTCTCTTCCTAGTGAGGGCATACCTTCACATAATCCCTTTTCTGAGCTGGAGAGTTGGCTCAGAGGTTAACAGCACTTGTTGCTCTTGCAGAGGGCTCAATACCCACATGAAGGCTCATGACAAGGTGCCCATACATACATACATACATACATGCGGGCAAACCACTCATACATATAAAATAACTAAATAAATCTTTTAAAATTGTTATTTATTTTTATTTTTATGTGCATTGGTGTTAGTCAGAATGTATGTCTGTGTGATGGTTTCAGAGCCCCTGGAACAGGAGTTACAGACAGTGAAAAGCTGCCATGTGGATGCTAGGAATTGAACTTGCATCCTCTAAAAGAGCAGCCAGTGCTCTTAACTGCTGAGCCATCCCTCCAACCCCATAAATAAATCTTTAAAAATCCCCTTTCTGAAAAAAGAGATGTATGGGACGTAGGAAACTGCCTGTGGGAGAGAAAAATTCAACTTCCTGTTGGAAAAATCAGCCAAATGGTGCGGAGAAAGCCGGTGGGGAGTTCCTCAGCAGCGTGTCGTGTGTGCTGTAGTTAGTAGGTCTGCATTATCAGAGACACACGCTGCTGAGTGAGGATGTTCATGTGATGGAGAAAATGCCAGGCTTACCAGTCAGACTCAGAAACAAGTGTTGCCTGGCTGCTCACTGGGAAGAGTTAAAAATACTGGTGTGTGGGTGCTGATCCTGAGGGATTTAATCTGCGTGTTCTGGGCATTGAGGGTGTTTGTTTTGAGACAGCAGGCTAGACTAGAAATCACCATGTAGTCAAGAGTGACAGCTGATCCTCCTGCCTCGACCTCTCCAGTGTGGCATGAGCTCCCAGGCCCCACCACTGAGCTTTTAAAAACCTTCCCAGTGAGTTTTATAGTTAGTCTAGGTTGGGAGGTACTTTTTAAACTCATGGCTTCTCAGACTTCTTAAAATGTTTGTCATTTGTTTGTGTTTATATGTGTACACATCTGGGGACATGGCAATTCAGAGTTCTCTTCTTCCACCACATGGCTCCTGGGTATCAAACTCAGGTCGGCAGGCTTACCAGAGTGCTCTTACCCACTGAGCCATCTCCCTAGCCTCAGATGTCTCTCAACATTAGAAACACCAGACCATGTTATTGAAAGCACAGATCCTTGGGCTGCCTCCGGATGCAGCAAAGCACCTTGTCCCGGGAAGACGTGAGCACTGTCATGAGTTACTGGTAGACGCTTGCCTCATGTACACCAGTGACCAGCATGACTTCTAGTATGAGCTCTCTTTCTAGGAAAGGGTCTCCATTTGCTGGGTTCTATGGAAGGCCATCAGAACCATCTCTCCATCAGTCCAATCAAAGAACCAAGAAATGTGACCTTGTTTTTTCAAACATGTAGAGAGAGCAAGATTCGTCTGTCTCTCTCCCTGTCTGTCTGTCTGTCTGTCTATCTATCTATCTATCTATCTACCCAACGAATTCAAATGGCCCTTTGGATCCTAGACTTTGGCAGTGTTGGCCCTGAGAGAAACAGAACAGAACCTGGTTCCTCTAGTGACCTCAAGCAATCAGCTCTTCTGTAGCTCTTAAGACGTTAAGTGTCGCTCCCGAGTAGAGTGACTTAAAATGACAACTTGGTAGCCCTACTGGTTTTTTGTGGCTCCTGTGCTAATCCTAGCTAGACTCATTTATAAATCGGCGGCCTGCTTGTGGTTTGGAGGTAGCCTTGCTCCTGGGGAGCTCCAGAGCCACCATCCTAGCTGCAATGGTGAGATTCGGGTTCAAAAGAAAACCGAACCTGGTGGGAGTGAGGCCAGCAGTGACGGAGCCAGACGTCCGGTATCCCCCTTTGGCTTCCACAAAAGTGTGTGTGAGCATTCACACCTGCGCACACAGATACACAGAGACACACACAGATATCCACACACATAGCACTATATACACAGTACAAACAAACACTACATACATATATACATCACACATATAGACATCCCATCACACACAGACACTACACACACACACACACACACACACACACACACACACGTATCTACACACATGCATCTACACACACACTACACGCACAGCACCAGACACACATATCACACAAATACACACCCACCCCCACATCACATGCAGACACCCCATACACACACACACATACATCACACAGACACCCCCATACTCCGACATACACCACACACAGACACCACACACACACACACACACACACACACACATACAGACACAGTACTAAAATAAATTAAAACACAGAGAATTGGAAAAACAGAGGCAGGCTGAGCAGGTGTCCTAGATTAAAATAGGTTGAGAGACTTGCTAATGAAATGCAATCCGGGATTGTATCCTGGACTAGAAATAAAACAACTATATTTGATGATATTTGAATATGGCTTGTGAATTGAACGACATGGCAATGTCCAAATGCCCTGATTTTGATAATTACTGCTGCTGTGGTAGGGGATCTTCCTTGCTCATGGGAAATGCATGGCAAAGTCTCTTAGGGGCGAAGGGCACCGTGTCTACAACCCTCCTCTCAAATGGAGCAGAGGAGAATTTACAAACGGTTGAGTGTGTCCTCCCACGTAGTGAGTTTCTCCTAGTGAGACATGAAGAGACATCTCACCTCAGAGAGGACCCCAATGACAGGACAAGAAACGACTCCACTCAAGTCAAGCCTAGTGGTCAGTTTATAGAGGTCACTCTCAGGCGCATGACTAACAGGGTAGAAAGCCCACCCAACCTGAAAGTCTGCTGAGGAAAGCCGCCATCTCCCAGCAAAACCTGTCACTGTGTCCTGCAGTCCTGCAGTTCTGCCTTAGTTGGACGTGTAAGCCATTCCTCACAGCCCTCCAGGCTTGGTGGTGGAGAGGCTGCTCTTCCCTTATGGAGACTTGATGGACTACAGAGTTGACATAGGTGACAGAGAGAAGGACCACCTCCTTGGCTAAAGCAAGCTCTGGCTGACCAGGGGCTTCCTACAGGTGTTCAAGTGATGTTCGGCGAGCTCCCCTGAGGTTTCTTAGTACATGCAGTTAATAAGGCTCAGCGGAGAGGACCTGAGGGTGGAGAGGGTAAACCCAGCCCAGAGGATTTGAGGTTCCTACTTCCGTATAGGTGAGGCTCAACTGGGTGCCCTAGCAGCATACCCTCTTTCTACCCACTCTCTGGGTGGCACAACATGGCCGGGTCACCATGGTGCTGCTCCCCTCTGGCAAGACCAGGAGAATGAAGGGTGCTAACTTCAAAACTGGCAGACAGGCATCTGCTAAAATGCCCGGAGGGAAAACAGGGCCTGGCTCACATGCGCACAGCCCCTCCCTCGCTTTTTTAAAGTAGATTTCATTACCCGATGTGTAGATGTGGCTTTTTCCTTCCTGTGTTCTTGTTTCAGACAGTGTCTTTCCAGCCCTGTGGTGATCTCACTTAGACTAATAAGTGCAGTTATTTTTAACTGACGGGATGCTGATGAAATACGCCTCTTCCATTTGGGTTGTCCCATTCCCATCCTCCCTCCCCCATCATTGTTCCTGTGTCCCCTCTCTCCCCACGCCCCACCTCTGCTTTGGGAACCTCTCCATTGGGGGACAGCCTGGGGGTTGGAGGCTTCTGGCTTCCCTTGCACCCTGTCGCCACCCTCCATGCCAACACCTTGCTGCTGTTTCTGCCCCTGAGACAGAGCCGGCCTCGCCTCCCTTTCTTACAGTTCACCCCATACGTGACAGTCACCTTTACTTCCCCTAAAGACAGG